ATGCAGTGAGTTGGGGCCAGTAACTTGCCTGACAAGTGCAGTGCCCGTCACGGATGAAGCAGCTGATCGAGCCTGCATGAATCTCAAGGCCGTTTCAGCCTCTAACAAAGGAACCTTTAAAGTAGATGAGTGTTTTAATTGTGAGTAGACCTGTGTGCACTGGTCTACTAGAATAAATATTTTTTTAAAAATACAGAAAAACAATGCCACAATTGCATTTTCATAAAGGTCTGGAAAAGCAAACAAGAGAATACATTTGAATCAGGAGTTTGGAGTCTGCAAGAACTAGCTGAATGCCCTAGTTCCTTAGCTTGAACAGACCGGCAGGCAATTTTAATTTAATCAGGGTTACTTAAAGCTATACAAAGAGCAGGCCATGAATAATTAAGACAATAAGATAATGAAGCAAAAAGGCATTTTTAAGAGGCACCAGTCCCTGACATAGCAGGCAACATAACTTGCTGTCTCTGTCTATTTCAGAATGCTACAGATCTTGGATCCGAGACCGCTGCCAAGCCCCATCATGCCCGTGGATGTGGCCATGAGAATTTGCTTAGCCCATTCACCGCCGCTGAAGCGCTTCCTCAGCCCCCTCGAGGACTGTCAAAGAAATAACTTCGTTAACAGATTCAAACCTCTGCGCTCCTGCCTCAATGTGAAACGGGATCCTGAAGCGCAGCAAAGCGATTGGAGCCGCCCGTCAGCCCGAGCCAAGAAGCGAGTCGTGTTTGCTGACTCCAAGGGACTCTCCCTGACAGCCATACACACCTTCTCCGAGTTCCAGGAGCACCCTGCGTGGGACCTGCAGTTTGACTTGCTCGGCCTTGAGAACATCACGTCTGGTTTAAAGCTACATGAGGAGAACAGCCTGATTCTGAGTTTCCCTCGGCCCTCATCTGACTACCTGGACTTCCGGAGGCGCCTGCAGAAGAATTCTGTCTGTCTGGAGAACTGTGCCCTCCAAGAGAGGGTCCTGTCAGGGACCATCAAGGTAAAAAACATCAGCTTTGAGAAAAAGGTTCAGGTTCGAATTACATTTGATACTTGGAAGACATTCACGGACACTGAGTGCGTATACATGAACAATGTCTACGGTGACTCTGACAGTGACACCTTCTCTTTTACCATTGACCTGCCTCCTGCCATCTCCTCCCAAGAGAAGATAGAGTTTTGCATTTCTTACCAAAGTGGAGAACACATCTTCTGGGACAATAATGAGGGTCAGAACTACAAGATTCTCCATGCAGAGTGGAAACCAGATGGTGTTCAAATACCATCTGCTAGAAAAGACTGTATAGACCTTCAGGCTCCAAAGAAAGTGCAGGACAGAGAGCCTGATCACTTAGGCAGCCCAAGAATGTCCAGAGGTCTCTTTCCCCAGTGGCAGAGCGTGGGAGGGATTGAAAATTCATCACCATATTGGTGATAGATGCTAGCTAGGAAGTGTCTTCCATTTGCAACAGAACAGTATTAGTTTCCTGGTTCATGCACACTATGACAAAACCACCCAGCAGGCTTTGACTCTCTGTACAAAATGAACATGAGACTTATTAACCATACTGCATTACTAAAGTTCTTAGCAGAAACTTATCCTTGGAAAGAAAGCAAGATAAAGCCCATGTGTCTGCCATCTGCCATAGAAATAGCACATCTGTATCTTAAATATATGCGGCTTGCTTTCTGCTAGTTATTTTTCTCAGTCACTAGACAAGACTGAGAATGTGCAAGAGGCAGTGATAGCTTTGCAAACTGTAGTAACTGTGCGTGTGCAAGAGGGTATGTGAACAGAAGGCCACGATGTGTTTTGTGCCTGGTAGGACTGAGATAGAGATGAGGATGTGATCAGGATGGGGGTTGCTGCAGACCCTCCACATCCCTGTAGGAGCGCAGCACTAGGGGCTGTGGCTTCAGTACAAGTTAGAAGGAGAAAAAAAAAAAAACTTGATATCAAGAACTTAATGATAATGGAAAGGTGGGAAAAGGGGAAGAGGAAAAGTGTGTAGAGATGCAGAGATTTTTATTTTGCTTTTGAAAGCTAGTCTTCTCAAAGTATCAAAAAAGTCTGTTTAAAGTTAAAATAGAAAACAATGCAAAATAAATGAAAATGAGGGGTGAAAATGATTGCATTTGGGAGGACATTTGTGCCTACATCGGCCTTGTTCTCCAATGAAAGACACTTACTATTCACAGGTCTAACCTTGGCTTTTACCTTCATCACCCTGTTTGCCTAGCAGGCAGATAGTAACCTTCTAATACTGAAAGAAATATGTGCCTTAAAAAAACCCAGGCCCCTAAATGCTAAAACTCATAGCTGGAGCCATGGCTAGTCGAGAAAGCAGACAATTATCTGCAGCCGTCCTAGTCTACAGCAGTGCTGCGTAACTTGACTGCTCACCTGATCTACGGCCTGGTTGACTGTCCTGCAAAACTATTGCAAAGTTAGTTATAACTTTTCAGAACTGTATAACATAGGCAAAGTCCTTCATATTGAAGATAGTGAATTAACTATACATGGTAAAAGGTAGCTTCTTTAAAGACAGCAGGGTTGCTACTAGTTTTTTTTTTCTAGAAAGAATATAAGCTTGCAAACAAATACGAACTGCTGTATTTTATCATACCTCATTTTTTTAAGTTTAAACTTGTTTTTGTTGTGTTTTTTTAGATGGCAATAAACTAATGTATATTTTGTATATGTATGCTTATAGTTTAGCTTTCTGAACTATAAAACTGTAAAGATAATCTTTCTTGTAAGAATCATGTGGGAGATTGTTCAGTATGTACTCAGTAGGTGTGAATACTGGCATAGCTTCACTCAGCTCTGCAGAAGTGGTGTTAACATCAGAATGCAAGCTATAGTTTTGCCCATTGCTAAAAAGTATAGTATCCTTGTAATGCAATGAAAAGATAAACATGAAGGTGAAATAAATCTTTTCTACTAATTGCACTTTCTCCTGTGTAACCCCTGCTGTTCTGTGTAAACTCTAGCCATTTTAAGAATAAATTGTATTTTGATACACCTGGTTCCTGTTGAGTCAATCTCATTAACTTGAACAAATCCAGTGCTGATATCAAACATAAGTTTGTGCTGCACTGCTGGGCCCAGCTAACCATGGTTATAAAGTAGGTCAGGGCCGCAGCTGATATTTGCCTGAGATAAGATGAAATGCAACCTGCTCACAAAGAGGTCCTCACAGGTATTAACCTTGGGAGCTGTATTTTAAATATTAACCTATATCTTACACACGGCACTGGGAACATTTTTGGCTTGAATGTTCGTCTGACCTGCTGCTGTACCTTGGGTAAGTCCCTCTTTTAGACCCAGGCCAGGCTTGCCAGATGAAGTGCTTCACAGCTTTAGACTTGTTTTCACTTGATACAGAGTTTATTACACTAGCTTCTCCTGCAACTCTAGAGCTCTTTGAGAATGCCTAGGGCCTGGCCCCTCACTTCTGAAAATGCAGTACAGAAGCACCCTCTGCAGCTATTCAGAAAGCAAAGAATGCCCTGTGCTGCAAGGGCTTGTGCCACAGAGAGGTTGGATACCCTCATGCTCCTCCTAGGTAGCAATATAGACTAGCACAGAGTAACGTCGAGAAAGTCAGTCAAAGCAAGTGACACGCCAGCTACTCCTGTGATATTTCTTAGCACGTTAAGAAAACTCAGTAACAAGATCCAAGTTTGGTTAGGACTGGTGCCCAAGCAGTTGGAAGTTTCTCAGCAAGGCGTATAGTTTTAATCATGGAAAAAGAGCATTTCCAAAAAAGGCAGAAGAGAATATGGCTGTAAGGACCCATTCTGGGGCTGGAGAATTAATTTGGAGCTTCTACCTTGCCAAGGCTGCATTGGACAGGTAGCCCTCCTCTCTGTTTCCCAACTCTCATCTACTGCTCCCAAACAGAAGCTTGTCAAGGTCTTACTCTTGGGAAGGTCTTCCAGCAGGGAAGTCATGGCACATTGTACAGCATGGTCCAAGAGGAAAAACACCCTGTACTGAAGACATTCGAAACCTCGGTGGCCTGAGACTCCATTTGCACCCATGCACCGCTTGGCTCCAGCAAAACAAGGACAAGGCTGGGGGCAGATGCAAGGATGGAGGGATGTTTTTCCAGCCAAATTCTGCAGCTAGTTGTCAGAACTGAAATGATTACTTTTTCTGCAACTGACTGAGATATAAGCCACGTAAAATGCCAGAAGACAACCTCTTTAATCAAGCTTTTGGTTCTAAACAAGCCTCTTTCTTTATAAAGATGCCTTACAAGATCTCTCTTGCCCAGCAGTGAGGTGGAGATCCAGGAGCTTTCTCTGCAGCTGCTTCCTGCCAAAGCAGCAGAGCCTCAACTTCACCATTTAAACCTGACTCGTATTTGACACTAAAGTGCACGTTACCAAAAAGGTGAGACACACGTTAGGGAAGGTGTTAATAGCAGTGAGGTATACCGAGAAAAAAATACAGTCTTACAAATGCACATCAGAAACAGAAAAGCTAGGCACCCTTGTAAAACCATCTTAGCCTAGGTATATTTTGGATACTGTGCTTTCAGATGCACCAAAAAAAGTAAAGGCAGAGGAAGGAAGGCCTCAAAACTGAGCCTACAACCCCCACATAGAATGCTTAAAGCTGGAAGGGACCTGTGGAGGTCATCTAGTCCAACCCCCCCTGCACCCGCAGGGTCACCTAGAGCACGTGGCACAGGACTGCGTCCAAGCAGGTTTTGAAGATCTCCAGAGAAGGAGACTCTACAACCTCTCTGGGCAGCCTGTTCCAGTGCTCTGTCACCCTCATTGGTAAGATATTTTTCCCTTAGGTTCCTGTGGAACTTTGGATGCTTCAGTTTCTGGCCATTTCCTCTAGTTCTGTTGGCGGCCACCACTGAAAAGAGGCCAGCACCATCCTCCTCACTCCCTCCCTTGAGGTACTTATAGACACTGATCAGATCCCCTCTCAGCCTTCTCTTCTCCAGCTGAACAGGCCCAGCTCTCTCAGTCTTTCCTCACAGGGCAGATGTTCCAGGCCCCTGATCATCCTCGTAGCCCTGTGCTGGGCTCTCTCCAGCAGCTCCTCTCGTGCTCTTATGAAGCCTTTTTTCCATTTCTATTGTAAACCTGCATTTCCTCTGCTGACGCAGTAAGTGAATACAATTCTCTAGCTTAGTAGGTCTGAACACTTCCTGAAAACACAATTAAAATTTTCACAGGCAATTAGAGAATCGTTTTGTCCATCATTGTATAAGTTATATACATGTGTGTATAAAATACATACACATATACTTTATATATACACATACACAGAGCAACTACTCTCATTCCTCTCCAATCCCCTTTGAATTTTCAAAGCAAAAGAAAGCATAAGCATAATCAAGATCAACACATTTCAGTGAGGCTGAAATGAAAGTAAGGCTGCCATAAAACATCTCCTGAGATCTCTCTCTCCCTTTGTGAGCAATCTGCTATACTGCACTCATTTCTGACAGGTACTTGCCTAGCTTGTTCTTACAGCACCTCCTGTGTTAGAGGCCACACAAGCTTTCTAGTTTTTCTTCACTGTTCTTGTGTTAAAAGAGGCTCCTAAGGTTAGTGTTCAGTGATCAATAGATTAATATTCAGTGATAATGTAATTAAGTCCCTCCCCTGTTTTATTTGGCATAGACAAGAGGAAGAACGTATTGCTTTTCCCTTGCAAAGACTGTAATTACTTGAGGGCAAATATCAACTTTCCCTCTCTCCCTACATCCCTACTCTAGGCTAAGTAATTGTTTTATGAAAAACGAATTGTTCAGCTTGAGGAACCTGTCAGACCTTTGTATTTTACTTACAGCAGAAATACCATTTTCAGCCAGCTCTGGTGAAAGTTTTGCAATGTGCTCCCTAACTTCAGCAGCGAAAAGGTAGCCCAGCTCAATACTCATCTTCCACTGCTCAGCTGGCCTGCTCCATCTCATACCATGAGGCTGACGGAGCAAATGCATCATTCCTGCAGTGCCAAGAAGCTCACGACAACTGAGCAGAGTGAATCAGAGATGTGGTTCACTGCTCAAGCTGTTCTAAGGATATCATCTCCTCCACTAAAAACATCCAACATCTCCCCCCTCCCCTTTTTTTTTTTTTTAAGTTACAAACTTTTAATACTCCAGCCTTCGTTTCTCTGTTTTCTGAATTCGTTCATGCCTTCAGTGTGAAAAGCGTTTTCTCCTCCAAAGTTCACGCGGGTTGGTAACATTTGTGCAGACAGGGCAGTTTGATATTTAGTTCTGCAATGTTTGCTGCAGGGGACACAGCATCCACCTCAGTACAAGTCCCTCTTGCTAAGCCCCTTAAGCTAGAATATACCAGGATTACTCTGCTGAGGCAAAGCAGAGGTCTTCCCAGTTACTGATCATTTTGTAATACACTCTAGGCCATTGTAGCTTAGCAGTCTTGCACAAGGGACATCCTCAATCTCTTGTGAACCCAGTGAAAGAATAGTGTTGCTCAGCAGCTCAAGACTGGGCTGACAGGAATAATTGCTAGCAATATTGTGATTACAATAAATCAACAACCAGAACTTATTTAGGGGAAGAGAATAAGGGCTGAAAACAAACAAATAAAAAAAAAGTATGCCAGGAACTGGAAGTCCGAAAGAAAATAAATCAGTCTATAGTTTTCACTATGAAGTAGAAGAAATAAAACGAGAAGAACAAAAGCTCTAGAGAAGCTGACTGTTTGCTTCAAAGGGGTTATTGTACAAATACCTCTGTTATATCTTTTTGTTTCAGGTAATCACAGTACCTTATACAAAGTCAAGCTTTCAACACCTTGAACCTTGCTGATCCAGCAAACAAGATTAGGTGGGCAGTGGGGCCAGTCTAGGAAATCCTGCCTCTTGCAGGAATAGCAAAATAAAGCAAACAAACAAAAACAAAACACACACAGCAACAAGTCCCCTCCTCCTACAACAACAAGCACAGTTTACTGAGCATTTTCACTGACCATGAGACGAAATCTGGGAAATTTTAACATTTAGAACAAATATCTGTTTTTTTTTTGTTTGTTTGTTTGGTTTTTTTTCGCAAAAATGTGTGTACTGATATTTCTTTCAGAAAGTACTCTTTTAACAGAGGAATATATAACATGCAACAAGTAACACAAAGCTAGCCTTGTGCTTTCCTCTGATTTCAGTTGTCTTAAGGGTTTTCTTTGCAAGACACTTTTGTCTCTTCTTCCCACTCACATCCTGCCTCCTGTTTCCCTTGCGTCAGAAGAACCATCCAACACATCTTGAGGCACTGCAACATGCAACCAGAAGATGAGAAGTTCTGAAATTGTTCAGCTGCCTTGCTTTAAATTCACATTTACAACAGCTTAGATTTTTTATTTTTTTTTAAGCCATTGCTTAATTAAGAGTTAATTACCTATCTCAGGCAGGCCATTAAGTCAGATTGAAAATACTATGTTGCAGCACAGACCTCTAGTACTTTGCTGCAAGCCTTAAAGTGAATCCATAGAACCCAGGACAAGAGGCCAGTCCATGAACTTACAAAACTGCCTCAATCATCTGCTTGTCTCCCCTCTCCTTTCCCTAGAAAGCCGAGAGCAAACACAGATACAGAACAAAAATGTGCAGGAGCTGAGTTGGATGGGCATAAATGAGTATAAGACACCTGGGTGTTGAGGTGTCAACCACATCCCAGACACTCATCTCCTTCACACACTCTGCTCTGCCCATGCATCGGGGCTCCGTGAAAGCAGAGTGCTGCCTGCCTCTCCTGAAGTTTTTTTCTTACCAGTATCATGTCCCTGGAAGAGTCTCACCTGCCCTTTAGTCTCACCTGAGACACACAGCTGAGACCAGCAAACATGCTCTATGTGGCAACTAGCTCTTCCACAGCTGTATCAGCATAGATATTTGTCCTTCTCTCCAACACGGAAGGAAGGACATGTTAACTTCCAGGTCATTCTTCTCATCCTTAGAGCTTCTTTCATCCATCAAGCTTTGAGATCCTCTCTCTCTTACCTGGAGTCGTCTTCTGGGAAGAGCAGGGGCATCTGAACTGCTGGGCCGGATCACCTTCAGGACTCTGGCACTACCTCTCCTCAGCAGGGACACCAGGGCACCATATGCCCACACTACGCAAGGAGAACCTGCTGATGGAAATATGGAGATGGGAAGAGTTAAGAGGACTCACAAGTGCACAGGAGAGGAGCTAAGCACTCCCCAGCAGCAGGAGATGAAAGAGGTGTTACTGTTGAAGGAAACCTTGGGCAGGCCTCTGATCAGCCTAGGAAAAGCTGAGAGCTTCATTAGCTGCAGCTGAGGAAAAGGCAAAAGCAGATGCTGCCTGGGTACAAACACAGCAATTATTTGTTGATTGACCAAGTGGCATGGCCCTGCTTCTCCCCCAAATCACACGGTGAAACTCTTCCCTGTGACAGGTGTAGTCTCCTCATCTCTCATGGTAGTGCTGCAAACAATTTCCTTTCTGTCTGCGTGGCAAAGATGTGGAAAGAGAGCCTGGGACATTTTAAATGAGCAGTCACGTCCTTGGCTGAAAGCTCCTTAGAGGGGGCAGGAATGGGCTCTTCAGGATCTGTTGTTCACAGACATGTACTGAGACCTTCCTCAGGCATTACAGGGAACCATTAAGCAGAGACATGTGTATATATGTGTGTGTGCATATATATATGTGTGTGTGTGTGTGTATATTTATATATATATAAATGCTCTATATATTATCTGCAAGAATAAAGCAGAGTGAAGTACAAACATAAAATATCTTTTTTTTTTTTTTTGGCATGTACTGTGTTAGCCCTGCTAGTGTTTCCTTGCCCCTCTTCCTCTTGGGAGACTTTTCCAAGTATTCTCAGCTCTGCTACATCTGAGATTTAATGGCTGGCGTTGCTGAGGTGGTAGTAAGAATAGAAAAGCCTCATTGCCACCTTCTGTCTTTGCATTAGCTGCAGAGAAAACAGTTGTCCTCCTACACAGTGAGTCCGAACTGCCCCAGCTGGGTGGGCAGCGGAGCGTCCGGACAGGGGGAGGGAGAAAAGCCAAAGCCCCTGCAGCCAGGAAGGGAAGGGCAGGATCCAGGCCCTATTAAATGCTCATTGTCTTATGCTATCTGGCACACAAACTGTTGAGTGGCATTTTGGGACGCAAGAGGGAAATGTCCTTGTTTATAACAGCTTTGGCCAGCAAAACCACTGGGTTATAGCTTACATGATAATTGCAGTTGTTAGCAGTTAAAATGGTTTGTCAAAAGCAAGTAAAAAACACTAGGATTTTCACAGGATGGTTCCAAATGTGCAAAGCTAAAAATCTCTTATTAAAGACAACAACAAGGGAAGTGCATTTTTCCCCGCTCTTAATGGAATATTATTAACAGCCCTAGCACTTACTTTCTAAAGTGGCCTATGGACCCTTTCCAGACTCTATTCTACCTTTATTTCCATTTCTTCTTGTTTACTGAGCATTTTTAAATCCTGAAGGCATAGCTATTAAAACAGTGCTTACAAATGCGCTCTCATAAGAACCTTTGAGGGCTCTTCTCAGACAGCAGGGTTACCACCTCTCCTGCAGGACCAAAAACCAGAATGAATTCCTAATATTTCACCTCTATTTTTATATGGTCCTTTTGGTAAAGAGAGCAGTGTAATTCATAGGCACGTAACTTGTGGTTTAGTTCTTACAGGGACATTTGCCACAGATTTAAAATAATCTTGAGACAGAGGAGCTTTTTTTTTTTTTATCCAGTGTTTCAATTTTTTTCACTGTTCTTTTTGCCTCTCCTCTAAATCACAAGTTTGTGCACAACAGCATGGGAGCCACACAGTATTTTAAGTGCTTATTTGTGCTCTTCTATAGAAACAAATCTGCACAGTTTGTAATTTTTTTTCCCAATAGATTCTCAGCTCCAGCCTCCTGCAACTCATCTTTGATGTTAGTATGAGTTTGCTGTTTTTGTGACTACACAATGGACTCTATTTGACATTGCTGCTGCGGGAAATGTATCTGTAGGGCAATTCCTCTTGAACTAGTGCCAGTCCTGCAGGAGTGACTTTGGCCCATTGTGTTCAAGCCACCTTCCCCGAGCTTTTGTTCCCTGTGGAGCACTCTTTTTCAACACCACGAGCCCAAATGGTTTCCCCTGACAGTGTGGATTTCCCTCCACATAATGGTTTAAATTAAGTGTCTCTGTCCTTCAATAAATTGGGACATGTGTGACTGCCTCCCACACTGGCACACAGTACGAAAGTGAAAAATAAAAGAACAAGTGGACAAGAGGCCCTGGCTATTTTCCACCATCCGGTCCTTAATGCTTGTCACTAGCGCCTTGCTTCCCACGCCGGCTGCCAAGCAGAGTCCGGGGGTTAAGGGGACAGCTGGGACGGTGATGACTGTGCTGCAGCTCAGCTCCATTAAACAAAATACTCTTCTGCTGCAAAGAGACACTGAAATAGCTGTGTTGCCAGCATCTGCCTTCCTCTTAAACATCTATTTTACTCCTACAGTTGACAGATGGACCTGTGATGGGAAGACAAACACTGAAAGCCTCAGGCTAATTTTGCTAATTTGGGAATGTAAGTGAGAAATACATGTATTTTTATCACTATCTTCATTTTTATTCCTTTCATTCACCGAAGTCCAGAGCTACAGACCATATTTGAATTCACTTCCATGGGGCCTGAAGTAGAAGATGCAGGTATCATGGTGTGGCTGAACTGAACCATTTCTGACATTTTCATGCCTTTGCAGGCCTGCTGAATATATCAAACATAACTAACACAGCTATTTTCAATGAAGAGACTACTAAGGGAGTAGAAGAAGCTATTTTTGACTTTCCTGCCTGGATTAAAGAGCTGCATTTCCCACCCTAGCCTGAAACATGCTTCAATAGTTCACAGTTCAGCTAGGCCCTTGGTTTTATTGCAAGTCAGGCAGCACAGTAATTTGCCATAGAGCTGCTGCTGCTGCCTGGCCTCGGCTCCTCGTGCATCCCCAGCCCCGCAGGCTGCGCCCTGCAGCCTGCATCCTGCCCGGGATGGACAGGCTCCGGGCGCTGGTGTGAGTCAGCAGTGATCCCACGGCAGCGCTCCCTAGGAAGGGAAGGGAGCGACTGGGGTGAATCAGCACAACCAGACCAGCCCCATGGTGCTGGAAGGGACCCCTTGACTCATCAGGTCCAGGCTCCGCAGCCACAGGCAAACACGCAAGAGATGTTTGTGCTAGAGGGGTCGCAGTAACCTGAAACACTCTCTTGTAATCACAGGCTGCAGACTAAAGCGCTATGGAAGGGCAGGGACAGTGCCTAAATGCTTTCACTAATTACACATTTTCTAGCCTTTCAAATATTCTTCTCTCAAGTCTCAGAAACAAGGCCCTGTCGCTAGAAATTAGTTTATTCTGATGAGTCAGTGCTCATAGTATTATCCTGGCATGAGCAATTAAACCTTATTCTCCAGTTGTTCTGCCTCTTTAATCACTGCCAGTTCTCATGTGTTCCTGGCTCACTGCTCACTTTGAACAAGGGGGAGGCACTGGGCCAGTCAGGTATCACAGTGACTTGCCACACTGATAACACCCCAAGCACAGAATTAGAGTCTACTGTCATCTGAACAAAACAGATTGCAGTTAGGTGGGGAGTCCACCATGGGGTTATGTTGCAGGATCCATTAAAACAAGAGCTAAACAGAATTGAATACCAGTATTAGAGGAACCAGCAGTTAATTATGATTGACTCAGTTAACATTTGTTACAAATTACAATAATTAGCAATTTAAAGTAGAGTCAAAGGCATTTTTTTCCAGAATTTAACTACTTCATATTTTTTTTTAAAACTGTATGGATAGGGTTGGGCAGTTGTGATATTTATATCTTACTGAACTAAGGCACACAAGAGAGGAGTATTCGGCAGCACCTATATCCCGCAATCTGCTTTCCAGCCTTGCAAGCACACTGCCTCCCTTCTTTAAATACAGTTTCTCTTCTGCTCTTCCTTTCCAGACAGTGACTGCCAATCAGGCAATATACTGTATTGGACAAATCAATAAAGTCTCAGGTTGAGACCAAGACCCTCATTTTGGCTAGTTTAAGGAATAAAATGCATGACATATTTTTATTATCAATTATTTTACAGCAATGACATGCTGTCCTCTCAGTGCTTGCAGGTCAAGTGGATAATCTTCCCTTATCTCCTGAATATATTTTGTGTAATACTCTGAACAGCATTTGCAGCTAATAAACAGCTAATAAAATACATTTTTTTAAAATGTATGTTCTAATTTTACAAAATGTTAATTCATTATTTGTTTACTTAGTATCAAGATGTTACATTCTGCAAATAATGTCTTTAAAGAGGAAAATATTTTGGAGGCATTTCAGAACTGAAGTGTTGAATCTGGAATGTAAACAGAACACATCATCTGAATGCCAGACATGGAGAGATGACACCCCGGTGATTGCTAGACTATGCAGAGCTACTCACGTATGAGAGCTGGCATGAAGGCTCCTAAATCTATAGCTCGGTCTTGATCATGCAACAACTTTTTTTCTGAGTTCAAAACTGAGGCTGCTTGTGTTCTTCCTGAGGGGAAGTTCCATATATATCAGTTCAAGAGAATTCATACAGTCAGGGAGAACTATTAAGTTAGTCAACATGAAAGCGTGGGTCAAGCCCTGTTCCTCTTCATAACTTATTTTGAACTTAATTGTACTTTAAAAATAGCCCTTTATCAGCATTGCTAAGCACCTCTCTCCTTTTGGGTTTTCCCTTTTGATACCTTGAATGTCAGAATTAAAAGCTACCTTAGTATCTCCTTTCAAGATTCCTACCACAGGGGAACAAAGACAGACAGCTGAGAGAAAGAATGAATTAAACAGAAATGGAATTTTGGTAGCACAAAAGTGGCTGCAATAGTTCTGCTATTTCTTCACTCTTTTCATC